CTCTACCGTAGCTCAGGAATGAACTGGGACCAGCTGATGCCGTCAGGGCCCAGTGGGTCCTCCTCCAGGCCGGGGAAGCTGATGTCCAGCAGGATCTTGCTGAGGCTGTCATTCATTGTGTCCAGAACCAGGCCTTCCGTCAGAGAACGGTTGGCTGAAAGGCTGGGAGCCTGTGGCTCCGGGGGGCCTGGCTTGGGGACCTCGATATCTGTGGGGCAAGAGCTGCCAAAGGGGTCAGAGGGGAGGTCAAAGGGTTCTGAATTGAGGAGCTCTCGGGGTGAGTCAAAGAGGGGAATGCTTTTCAGCGGGGTGGTGCTGAGATCCATCAGCCCCAGGGAGTCAGGCAGGGGGCCAAAGGCACCGTGGGGGGTTCGTACTGGGCTGAAATCCAGCCCTCCCACTTTGGCTGGGGGTGTGAGCTTCCAGGATTCGGGGGTTCTGGGGAGGACAGATTTGCTCGGGGTGGAGGAGATGGGCAGCGTCTCCTTAATGGGTGTCTTAAAAGGTCCTTCCTCCTCCCGGGAGTGGCCGAGCCGGGCGCCGGGCTCAGAGGAGTCTGCCAGGAAAGGAAGCTCCGTGGCAGGCTGGGAAGTGTTGGGGCCCTCTGAGAAGAGCAGCTCGGGCTCATCGAGGCAGGGAGGCAGCAGATGCTGTTTCCTTCGAGACCGGCTCCTCTCCCTCCTCTCCCTGCGCTTGATCACGAGCATTTCCGAGACGCACTGGGCTGGGGACTTGATTCCGCTGTAGGACTTCTTGGACTTTGGGGTGGGAGAGTGGGACGAATCCTCCCAGGAGTGAGATGATTCCTCTTTGAAAGATGGGGACAGGGAGGGCCACTCTTCCAAGGGAGGGCTCTCCACTTTGATGGGCCTCACTAAGTGCAGCGTTTCCTCCCCAGGCTGGATTTCTTCCTCCTTGATGGACTGAACTGGAAGCAGAGGAGACAGCCCTTCTCCACGCAGGAGCTTCTCCTCTTTCACGGGTCCTGCAGTGGGGAGAGCGGCTGCCCCCTCGTCAGCGAGCAGCACCTGAAAGGGAAGCAGAGATAAGGTGAGAGGGGGCTCTCGAGGGCTTGCGAGTCCACCCACTGTCACCAGGCAAGACACAAATCGGGACAATAAGTGACATACTGAAACTGATCCTCTTTTTGTCTTTTTAAAGTCTTTAAAGTCTATGAGGTATGAAAATATGCTATATGGTGAAGGTGGTAGTTCAATCTCGGGGTAAATGATGAGAGTATATAATACGGTGCTGGCATAATTAGCATTCATCTGAGAGAAAATAAAATTGCATGCCTATCTTACACCGTACACAAAGATTTACACATAAAAATTAAAACCTTAAAACCATACAAATCCTGTAAGAGAATCTAGGAGACTACATGTACAATCTGAGAGTAGGGGTGACCTTCTTAACCAAGACTGGAAACCCAGAAGCTGTAAAAGAGAAGAGAGACATATTTGACCATATAAAAACGTACAGTTTTACTGTGGCAAGAGATACCGTAAACAAAGTTAAGAAACAAACAATAGAAGTAGAAAAATATCTCCAGCGTAAAAGACAGAAGGCGAATATTTTAACAACAAGGAGCTCTGACAAATTAATAACAAAACCTTATGGAAAAATGGGCAATGTCCACACATAATCAATTCATAGAGGACAATTCCAAGTGACCAAACATAACGAGAAGGTGCTCAAACTTACTGATAAAGATAAAATTAGAAAGGAGATACAATAATTTATATATATTAGATTGGCAAATATTAAAAAGACTAGTAATATCAATTGCTGGCAAAGATATAGATCTTGTCACATAGTGCTGGTTAAAATGTGAATTATTACAGCTTTTCTGGAAAGCAATCTAGCAATATTTAGTAGAATTTAAAATACCTTTTCGCTCAGAAATCTCACATCTGGGAATCTATCCCACAGAAACAAAAGTACTAGGAAGAAAGATACTTGCAAAAATATTTACTGCAATGTCATTTATAGGGCAAAAAACTAGAAAAAAAATGTGCCCGTAAAAGTGAAATGGTTGAAAATTTTGTGGTATAGCCACATCATGGAATATTATGTAGACATTAAAAAACAATGAATTAGAACTATGCCAAGTAACTTGGAAGAACTTCCATGAGGTATTTATTGTTGAGTTAGAAAAAGACAGAAGTACAAGTGTGCAACATGATCACATTGTCAATGTTCTATGTGTTGTATGTGTGCATATAAAATGGCTATTGCTATATAT